ATTGTGTTATGAACTGAGGTGGTTTTAAATGTGCTATATAAATAAATAGAGATTGAGATAGGAACCATTTAAAGGCTCCAGTGTGTCTCCGTGTGTAACTCAGTTCCTCCCTGAGGCCTCTCGCTCCTCCACAGAACCATACTGTACTCCGCACTGTACGGGACAGTATTCCTGACACATGCAGAGTGGAAAGCTCGGTGGTGAATGTGAACCCGACACCAAACTGGGAATGTCAGAGCGCCCGGCATGTTGCTCGACAGGATTTGGAACGGGGGGGGGGGGGGGGGGGGACCAATCTGCAGCTGCAACGTGAGCTCAGCGGGTCAGAAACCCTCCGGAAAGATACGTCTTTACGACCACCGTCGGATTAGAACCGGTTTTATTAAGTAGGTTCACACATGCTTTGGTATATACACAACAAATATATACAAAGACACCAAAACACAAAATACAATTATTATAAAAGCTATTTTAAGACTTAAAAACAAGGACATTATATACACAAATATATATATATGTGAGATGTAATGGAATATGGTAAATACTATATTCAAAGTGGAGAGCTGTGCAGGTTAACAACCTCATATTGTTTGCATGTATTTAAATTAAATGAATACACACACAATACATGTTCTAATGTGAAGCTTCACTCAGAAACTCAGCCTGCAGCCGGAGAAAACAAACACGCCCTGACGTCCTGAAGAATAGATAAAAACTGATTCACAGAGTGGAGAATTAGTTGATTGATTTACTTTTCAATGATTTCTTTCAGTATCTGAAGCCAGATTTCCGTGACTTTATAAATAATAATAACAAAAACTAAACATGCGATTGTTCTCAAGTTACTTTACGCGCCTAGAAATAGCAAAAAGTCAAATTCAATGAGTTTCCAAGTTTATTATGACCACGAAAACCCCAAACAATCTATTCTCACCGGGTCACAATTTCTCTATTAAACAAATTTAAAAATGTAACAAATATACTCCAATTAGTCTACCAGAAATATAATAATAAATACAAGGTTCATACACATTTTGATGGCTTTTCCACAGACTTTCCATGACTTTTTTCAGTATTTTAGGCCAGATTTGATGACCTTCCTGTGACTTTTCCACAGACTTCTCCATGAATTGTCCAAGCCTTCTTTACCATGCCTTTGTTCTGTATTTTATTCCAGATTTCCAAACACTTGTCCACCACTCTCCCAACACCTCTGATGTGCAATAGCTGTATATCCAGCATTATAATTATTATTATTACTGGCTGCTTGGTTAGACAATTCAATTTAATAAACCAGTAAATAATGCAATATATACTTCCACTTCTACTACCGTCACCTGGCTGCTGTCACACTACTTCACACTAAGAATGATCATTATTATGTAGTGTTCCCACTGTAACGGCATTAAGTGAAATCAGGAGTGCAAAGGCCTCCGTGTGTTTCACATTAAGGGCTTTGGAGGTTGTTAAATTGTGTCTGGTACGTATGCAAATGACTGGCTGATACACACATCAACATCCAGGGTGATTTCTTTAAGGAAGAAGCTCCTTGGGTTCAAATGAAAGTGATAAAAGCAGGTCACTTTTTGTCTGCTTTCTAGGATTTGTTTTACCGTGAAAACGACAACTATCACAAGCAGTTTTATCGGTGAAGCTTAGCTAGTTTGATTATGATAAGAACATATTAAAAAGACGGTTTCATTTAGGGCTGAAACAACGGCAGCTGCTTGAAAACGTTTGTAAAACTGAGCTGCAAAATTCTACATTTCTGCACAATTACTTTAAACACTTTTTCACTAGTATATATTTGACATATTTCTGCACTTGTTTTGTCTTTTTTTGTGACTGTTATGCAAATTCACTTGGTAGTAAACCTGAATACTACATTTCGTGTCTAGATCAACAATGTTTGATTACTTGAAAAGAAGTAACCAAGTAAGAAGAGATTGGATGCTTCTGGGGACAAAAACAGCCCAAATAAATATCTTTTACTCAATATTTGTGATGAAATTGGCTGTTTTTTGGTGGATATTTAACGGCTATTTGGTTGGTTATTGTCAACATTAGTGCATTAAATGTAGGATTGACAATAGTTTGCTGTAAAGTGTGGTGACAAAATGGAAAATAAAAACTGCAGCCTGAGGTCGCAAACTGTCTACAGCTCAAATAAAACAACAGCTATACAGATTGCACGGACAAAGATAAAGAATTGTAAGTAACCTTTAGTGCTGTGAACACGAGGTCAACATCCAACATGGACGCGTTATTTAACTTCATGATAGTGATAAAAACCAAGATAAAAAAGTGGGTAAAGACTTCATTAATAAGTGTAAGAAATGGAGTAAAGTAAGACTATTGTAAGCATGATGAAGCTTGAACTGGCACAATGATTGCTGAAGGACTTAAAAACAACAATATTTACAATACAGAGCGAGCTAACAGTTAGCTAATAATGCTCAAATCTGCACATGTATACGAGTATTCTGAATATTTAGAATTAGAAATACTATTCTTTGAGCTACGATAATAAATGAATGGATGTAAACAAATACAACCTAACAGGCAGACAGATTAACGGCAAAATTATTTTTAGACATGTAAAACAAACGTGTGGTAAACAAGGAATATAGGCGTACAAAAATCTGAGTGAAATTGGGACAAATGTAGGATATCTTTGGTTTTATATCCCCAAAAAAGAGGCGCGGCTCTGATTGTTTTGGCAGTCTGGATGCTTCATTTGTCTCTTGAGTAGTATCTACAAGCATTTACATGCAATAATCAATATACAAACTACAATAGAACTGATTAAAATCATTGATTAATATGCAATAATTAATCTTTAAATATATATATTTAGAAAAGAAAACAACCTATCAATTTTGACTTCTTTTAAAAATATTTGTAACACTTTTCCAATCCGATTTAAAGCGTACTCTGTATTCGTATCATTCTTCCAGCTGTATACTTCCCTGCTAAATATATTTACTGCTTACACCGTATTTAAATCTACTCATTGATGTTTTTGCACTGCTGTTAAGATGCTAAACTGCACTTTGTTAATTAAGGTAATTAAGGTGAATCTAATCCACTTAATTTAATCAGTGCTAGCTAAGGCTACCTAATGGCGGGGAATTACAGCTCGTCTTACAATTGACGCAAGGAACAATTAGTTTAAATCACATTTACCTACAAGACTATTTAAAGCATCGTCAATATATCACATTTTAATCTGTATTCCTGTTATTACACAAAGGTACAACAGCCTGACTGATACTGGATTATTTAGGCTGATTTCAACATTAAAATATAGCAGAAATAGCAGAAAAAAGGCAATAACAATAATATACAACTGACGTATAATATGAGCTCTGCCAATAAATCGACAGAAAAGCAATAAGCATATATATTTCAATTTTTCATCATAAATTCAGTCATTTCTCAAGCAAAAACAGTGAAAATGTGCGTTTTTTTGTCTCACAAATGAGGGAATAAACTGCTTTTCTTTGTCATATACCATTTTGAATACTATATTTTGTGTTTTTAAGGATTTTAGTTGATCAAAAGAAGATTTTTGAACACAAAATAATCATTAGTTGCAGCCTTAGGCTATAACTGCTAAATACAAACGGACTGTAACCTAATAAACATTATATATTTACATTTAAATGATGATAGTTCACTACAGCACTTTATAAATACCAATTAACATGGTAAAAACCTATTTTAAAAGGGTTAAATTGATGTAATAAAGCTGTAAACCAACAAGCTAACACAAAGCTACAGCATGATTATTAACTTATAATAGCCTCATAGCAGCATTAGCATGTCTGTCAAGCTAATACAATAACAAAGGGTGTATTTTAAATAACTGACAGCTACAATAACCCCATTATTACACATTGTACTGACTTTAAAAACAGCCAAAGAGAAAGCAGCTGACCTCTGACTGAACTGAAGCTTTATTTCTGTCTGTCGAGCTGGAGGCCAGAAATGTACCCAGCAACCGAGAAAAACACACACAAAAAACCGCATCTAACGTGACACAAAGACGCTAAAAACACTTATTAATGGAAATCAGGAGACAAACGGAGATGTAATAGTGTAATAAAGCAGTATTATCAAGTGAAATACAGGCAGTAAACACACCACAGCCCCAGGAAGTGCATTTAAATGAAGCTGATTTTCGTAGTGGTCAAACGGTGGTACTATAACTTCCGTGTCAGACACTGGGTCCAAAAATACCCCATTATACTTACATTGGGAAAGAAACGTCTGTAAATAAGCGTATTATTGTTTTTAATAAACTACCTACAGTGCTACAAACACTTTTAGAGCCGTCATTTGATTTTAGGGTCTAAATATGTAAATATAATTTGTGATCTTTTTTAGTATTCAATTTATTCAATATTTGCGTTATATTGTTTATTATTTAAATACTCTAGTGATACATGTCCTTTGTATATACTTGCTGCTAATGTACATTTTTATTTCATATAATTACCGTTTATGTTGATTTTTATTTAATTATATTTGTCTCTTTAAAAATGTCCTAGAAAACTCAACTGCGCATGCTCCGTGGGCCCACGTACGGGTACTTTTGCTCTCCACGGTCAGCCATTTTGGCTCAAAGCGCCACACATAGGAATGACCGGAGCCCCGCCTCCAGCTCTTTATAAATCCTCGGTTAGCTGCTGTCACTTATCATCTGTTAAAAATAAACCCGACACACAGGGCAGGAAAACGGCTTTGTGTTTCTACTTACAACCGCTTCTTTTAAAATAACATAAAAAATAACACATAACGTCACAACAAGCAGAGGCATATTTATATACTGTTTATATCCTAGCTTCCCCTCGAGTGTTTTTAAAACCGCTGCCGACGTATGACGTTCACATTTACGTTGTATTTTTAAATGAGAACCGGGGGGGGATCAGCGGTGTCTCCCCTTGACTCTACCCAGGTTTAGGTACCCTAAGGCCGGGTACAGAGGCTGTGCTTACCCGTCGGGAGGACCGAGGTTCCGGGCTTCTTGGTTAACATGGCGGCCGCTCCTATCCCTCTCCTCTGGACTCAGACGGACAGGATTCCTCCTCCTCTTCCTCCAGCAGCTCCTCCTCTTCCCCCTCCTCTTCCTCCTCCCTTCCTCCTCCTCTTCCCGATCCCCTGGAGCTTAAATTTAAATATATATCAAGTCAAAAAGTCAGTCAACTTTATTGTCAATCTTTCAGTTTGTGTGAGATCGAAATACCGTTTCCCACAATCCCGAATACAAAAACAAATAAATATAAAAATATGTAGGCCTAAGCAAATATGTATAGCCTACCTATATATTACATTGCATTGTATACTGTATGTCTATATACATATTTGCATATATGTATTGTAGACACATTTATACATATTGTTAGAAATTAAAATCAATATTCAATGACGTAATTTAGTTTAAACGCACAGCTTTGTCGTAGCAGCTGATACCCCCTCTGGCACTGTATGCAAAACCATCTCACCCTAAAAAAGCGTCTGTTGATCACACATACATTTAAGATTCACTCAGAGAGATGACCTAATCAGAGAAACTAAGACAATTAGTTCCCTCCCTACATCACCGCCCACCATTGATGAGGAGGGGTCACCACTCACAGAGAGGTGAGGGAGCTCTGGACGCCACTTCTTCTTCTTCACCACGAGACTTCACCCCGGCGAGGCAACAGCTGCTCTGTCTCTCCTCTCCTCTGCTTGTTGTATCATCGTGCCATTTAATTAAACTCAACCAATTTGAACCTTTTCCGAGACTCCATTAGTCTCTTCATAAGCTTCTCTCCTGGGAGCGAGAACAACGAATACTTCTAACAATATGCACACATTAAGACCTAAATAAAAGCACAACAATCAATATACAAAAATAACAGTCACTTCAATATCTTTGAAAATGTACATTAGTGCCAGACTGTCCATAGCATAACAGAAAATACGATAATTCCGAAAAAATTAATCCCAATTTAATTGTATTTACATTTATTTAATTTACATTTAATTTAATTTACTTTACATTTAATTTAATTTACTTTACATTTAATATTATTTACATTAAGAACACTTAATAAGATAAGATATACTTACTATTATCCCCAATATGACAAGTTTTAATTACAGCAGCATTTTAAACAAAGGCATTGCACATCATAATATTTTACATTTAAATAAATATGTATCCCAATTTAATATGAAATAAATTCACTGTTTTAAAAAATTAAGGATTATTTCGGCTATTTGCATATAGGCTATTTAATCGCATTTGTAAATGAGCACGGTAGCTATTTTCAGAGCATTAATACATATTATTATTCCGTTTTATCAACAACACATGCATGTAAGAGCATTTTTACTTATAATTTGTCAATATGGAGCCAATTTAGTACTTCATAATCCTATAGCGAGGGTTTTTAGTAACTATGAGTATTAAATAAATGTAGTATAGTCAAAAGTACAATATTAATCTTCAAAATGCGGTGCAGTACAAATATAAAGTATAGCATAAAATGGGAAAATTCAAGTACTAGTAAGTCAAAATGCTACTTAACTTAGTTACTTATAGCTATTTTCATATTGTTATACAGATGTTATCAACAACAAATACATGCAAGTGTAATTTAATCTTGTTATTTGTCAACATGGATCCAGTTTACTTCAAATGTACTTGCATCATGTCATATATCATGTGTTTTTATAGTAGCTAGTGAAGTAAAAAGTACAATATTAGCCTCCAAAATGTGATTGGAGACTATAAATTAGAGTAAAATGGAAATATGACAGTAAAGGATGTCAAAAAGTAACATTAAAAACACCCCCAACACAAACAAACTCACCATGGATCTTCTAAAAGCCTTTTATTATTCTTTACAAACAAATGGCATTTATCAAACTGCAGGTAACCATAGCAACAACACTGATGATGCTAACGACGACAAACAACAGCAATTTGTAACTACAAGTCCCAGAAAGCGTGAAAAAGAGACGTTAAATGTGCTTCAGATTGTGATTGTGTTTTTGTTGGCTGCTTGGAGACAAACAGCATGTTTTAACAACAGAGACACAAGAGAAGCTCTGTGTGTGTGTGTGTGTGTGTGTGTGTGTGTGTGTGTGTGTGTGTGTGTGTGTGTGTGTGTGTGTGTGTGTGTGTGTGGTTTCAGGTTTCAGAGCTTTTAGTTAAATTACACAGGGACTTATGTAACAGAAAGAACTTACTCAGCAGGATTAAGCTCAGGACATGACCACACCGTATTTTCACGTTTTTATTTTAGGGAAAAACAACAACAACAACAACAGCAACAACTGTGTTTACTGAGTAATCGGGATGACTTTATATAACATGAGGTGGTTTGGTTCTGCAAAAACGACCTCCGACAATGCCCTTACAATAAAGGCTTTTCAATTATTGAAAATATTTTTGTTTTTCTTCTGACTTTTAATAAGTTTAAACTTGTTTGACTGAAACACCTTCATTGGAGTCCTGAGTCCTGAGTCCTGAGGCCTGTACTACGAAGCCGGATTTTCGCTTAGCAAGCTAACTTCAGGGAAAACTCTGGGTTTCCGGTCATAATAATGACAATAGAGCTCTTGAATCTGTATTATCTCCAGTGTTTATAACATATTGACATTCAGAGATGCAGTTTCTCAGATTTTCAGCAATTTGCAGTGGGTTATTTAGTAAAATGATGCTGAACCTGAGAAACTGAGAGCTCAGTAGAGTAGAAATTGTTCTTAGATGTATATATTTCCTCCAAAATAATATGGACTTTATGTTTGTATTATTTATTTACTTTTTAAAGTTGTGTCCCTTGAACAAATGAATAAATTAAGGATATTTAAGTGATAAACATTTTTAGACAAATCAAGACTGCCACCTAGCGGGTTGTCTGCACCATTGACACTAAATTCCTTAAACAAAAACACCTAATAATCTTACATTTTAATCACGTTTTATTTTAGCTTTTAATTTGAAATCTGTATTTTATTGTGAAAAGCTGACAGGAAGTGAAGGTTGGCGTTGGCGGACGCTTTGAAGAAAGTTCCAACATGGCGGCCGGACGAGGGCAGTTTATTATACATCCATGAGTTTACCCCGAGTTTTATGGGGGGGATTAAATGTAAATTATTAATATAATTTACATTTAATATTGTTTACATTTTATTTAATTTAAGTTTAATATTATTTACATTGAATAATATTTCAAATTTCATTTAGTCCACATTTAATTGAATTTAGATTATATTTTATATGCATTTAATTTAATTTACATTTAACATTATTTACATTTAATTGTATTTACATTAAATATTATTTACATTTTATTTACATTTAATTGTATTTACATTTAATTGTATTTCACATTTCGTCCACAAAGGAGAACCTACTGGTAACTTTAGCTTAAACTGTGTGACAGTGACGTTTTAAAAATAATATTTATAATAATACACTTAAATAATAAAGAGGTTTTTTTAGGTACTCGACACACTTTCATTATTTTTGATAATTTTCATTACGTTTGTTTTACCTTTTTATTTGTTTTACTTACTTTACGTTGATTTTTAGTATTTTATTTATGTATGTATTCCTCTGTATAGCACTTTGGTCTGGAGGTTTTAAAGCTGTATTGTATTTACAGGGTGTCAGGGAATAATTTCGCCCTACATGTTCATCTTTCGCCCTCTGACGCAGCTGACCAACCTTGAGCAGCCGCTATCTCCCTTAAGGAGGGGCTGCCCTAGCAAGTTGTTGTTGTTACCAGTTTGTGACCGGGCAACTCTCGGTCAGAGATATTTATTGTTGTGGGACACCTGGAACACATCCTTCTCGGGGTGTAGATGACCCCGAGCCATAAGCGACAACAAATGTGATTCAGTGTCCTCAGCTATCTATTGAAGAATGTTGATTATTACACTCTGAACTAGTTAAAACCTGGAGCTACAGGAGGGCTCTTCAGAATTGATTGTGGCATCTCAACCGTGTGGTCAGACCGTGGCCCGTGACATGTCTTGTGAATTCTCCGGCCGAAGCTCCAAATAAACCGTCAGTGTTTGCCATCAAAGCTCCAGCTCTCCTCGTGTCTCTCTGAGTCCTGACTCCCATTGCTTCAGAAGTTTCCCCCACACAGGGTAACATTCAGAAATCACAAACTCGACAAATCAATGATATAAAGCTGTTGTCAGTATGAGGAGTTAGCTAGGACTGCTTTCACTCAAATAAATAACACACATTTATTCAGATTTCTTTTATGTGTGATTTGTTCATCATTCAAGCCAGTGTGTTCTTTGCAAAATATGATTATTTACAAGATATTCATTTCATTGACAAACATCAGACAACATTTCCTATAATTCAATTTCCAACATAATCTTTCCTTCATTGCTTAGAAAATAATAATAATAAAAAACACATTACATTTAATAACATTTGATTGTAATAGAAAAAAATGGCCCGTGTTAGCGAAATATCAGGCTCTACAAAATATAAAATCTATCGTTTTAACACCTCAAGCTAAACTTTGGCCAACTTCACGAAACTAGAATCCCTGAAAACACCGGCACTTATGGTAAATAAACGTTATTTATAAAACGCTTTTCCAGACCAGGGCAAAATTGTAATATCTAAAATTGCGCCATTTAAAATTAAATTGTGAATGCAAAATTAATGCAGATTATTAAAACATATTATTAAACAACAGCAACCAAATTAAACCGTATGGAATAATTTCACAAGTTACATTTACTGTGTGAGGTGTTGTTTTGGTGTGAAATAAAAGTGATGTATTTCGACCCTTGATAAGAACTGGAAACCGATTAGCAGAACTGAAATCAGAACCTACGAACCACCGGGTCTTAGTTTGGACACCCCTGGTTTAGATTAACAGGACAAAAGATCAAGTTGGCAGCATGGTCGTTAGTACAAGGACTCGCAATCGACTGCAAACTGCTCGACGCTCATCGCCTACTTTCTCTCATATTATTGCTCTTGACCACTTTGATGTAATTGTTTCCAATCAGCGGACACAATGAGCACCATCTTTAAAATCTTTAAACGAGACCAGACCCTCGTCATAATCTACAAACACTCCCACCTTCTCGAGAAGGCGATTAAAAGGGAGATCCACAGGGTTGTTTTCATTGGCAGCGTATTCGTCTCCATGTCTCAACCACACAGACCCCGTCAGGAGTCAGTGTAGTTTGTCCTTTCCTTTTGACTGATTGTTTGGCCACTCCTACAGTCCAGGCAGTCTTGCCTACTCTGCTTTGCTAAAATCATCGGCATAGCTGTCTTTCGTTCTCATTGTTCTGGACCACCAAAGTCTTGTGTCCTATGGTTCAGTGGGCGATCAACAGGAGTGATGATCAGAGGGGCAGAGTTCAAACCACCAGCATTAGTACAGGGACTGAAGTATGGAAGGAGTTTCTCAGTGAAAGAGCAGCCGCTAAATGAGTAAAGTAGATCTGCAGTATCAACATTATAAAAGGAGACCAGACCCTCGTCATAATCCACAAACACTCCCACCTTCTCGAGAGGGCGATTAAAAGAGAGATCCACAGGGTTGTTCTCATTGGCAGTGTACTTATCTCCATCCTTCAACCACACAGTCCAGAAACCATCTTTAGGACTGAGTATAATTCGTCCTTTCCTTTTGATTGATTGTTTGGCCACTCCTACAGTCCAGGCAGTCTTGCCTTTAACCTGAACCTCAAAGTAAAATCTTCCTGAAGAGAAACTCTGCTTTCCTAAGAGGTTCACACATCTGCTAAATCTCTCAGGGTTGTCCGGTAGAATCTTCTCCTCATCACTAAGATATACTTGTTTTCCATCATCATACAGGACGAGATAAGGATGTGCTGTATCAGGATCCAGAGTCACCTCCACTGCAGATTGAAGGACTTTCATCGGCATAGCTGTCTTTCTTTCACATTGTTCTGGACCACCAAAGTCTTTTGTCTGGTTCAGTGGGCGATCAACAGGAGTGATGATCAGAGGGGCAGAGTTCAAACCACCATCAGTAGTACAGGGACTGAAGTATGGAAGGAGTTTCTCAGTGAAAGAGCAGCCAGTAAATGAGTAGAGTAGATCTGCACTATCAACATTATAAAAGGAGACCAGACCCTCGTCATAATCCACAAACACTCCCACCTTCTCGAGAGTGCGGTTAAAAGAGAGATCCACAGGGTTGTTCTCATTGGCAGCGTACTTATCTTCAGGGCCGCAACTGCCCATCTTGGGGCCCCACCAAAAGTTATGTGATGAGTCCCTGAGATGTAATAACCCAAGCCCGAGCTTAGGATGTGTGGTATCAGGATCCAGAGTCACCTCCACTGCAGACTGCTGACCCAGGTTGCAGTTTTTGCCAAGCCAGGCATAACACACAATTATAACAATTAAAGTTAAGAACAAAAGTTTAACCCATCGTTTCTTAACTACTGATCCATTTCTCTCGCGCTGAATCTCTGTTGGTTGGCCTGGGAAAAACAAAACACAAATGTAACTTATTAGTTTACCCAAAGCAAATTCAGGAAAAGTGGGTATGCTAGAAGTAAAAAAAGCAAAAGAAACTTACCTTTTAGTTCAAAGTTTTGAAATTTCTGCACCAGATCATTCCTGTTGATTTTTTTTAAAATGTTCATGGCTACCTTCCTTGCTCCATCGTCCTGATAGTTCTGCACCATCAGATCCACCGTGTCTTTCCTGTCCGCCGTCTCCAACCGAGAAACTGGGATGCCTGAAAAGCCTTCCAGAAGATTCTCCTGCTCCAGGAACCACTTGAAATGCTTCAACTCGTCTTCTTTTAAATGCTGAAGAATATACCAGAGCTCCTCTTTAATTTTCGCCATTATGGCTTCCTGATAAGAAAAAGAGAAACTTTCAATTGGAGGGACATATTCTTTTTTAAATGTATCTTATTTTATTCCACTTACCTTGAGTATTCTAACCAGCTACTACAACATCATATACCCTCTGTTTTGCAGGTATGAAACACCTTGAGATAAATCAACACTTTTTTTGTAGCTTGACTAAAAAAAAAAAAATTTGATTTTTCCATTGGATTTGTGTGTGTGTGTGTGTGTGTGTGTGTGTGTGTGTGTGTGTGTGTGTGTGTGTGTGTGTGTGTGTGTGTGTGTGTGTGTGTGTGTGTGTGTGTGTGTGTGTGTGTGTGTGTGTGTGTGTGTGTGTGTGTGTGTGTGTGTGTGTGTGTGTGTGTGTGTGTGTGGGTGTGTGTACTCACGCATAGCTGCAGGGTGTGTTGGATTTGGTACAGCAGGCCCTTGTATTCGGACGAGAGGAGTTTCTTAACGGCCGGTCGGCTGAAGACGCTCCGTTGGTAAACATCGATCAGATCCCGTAACTCCAGCCAGCCAATCAGACGCTGAGGAGGAAACAGGAACATCGTCAGGATTTATTACGTTGTTTATATTTTACAAGTTGTGCAAATTAATGGATGGACAGTTTCCTTTTCTGCACCAGAGAATTGCAACTAAAAAAATGTGTGAATGAACGAGGAAAAGATAAAAAATCTAAAACAACGAGAAATAATCTTAAAACTTTTCATAAATTAAAGTGTTAAATGTAGGAGAAAAGTCAAATTTTCTGACAATAAATTGGTACATTTTAAACAAGAAACGTGCATATTCAAAAACGAGAATATTGTCTAAAATTAAAGTTGCAAAAATAAAAAAAACATACAATTAAGAGACAGTAAATGAAAAACTGGTGAATTAACGAGATACAAATGTTGAAATGTTGGAGAAAAAACTTAAATATTCTCTAAGATATTTAGTACATTTCAGAGAGAACAAATGAATATTATCTGACGTAGAAACATAATATTTTACGAAATTCTGATTTAATATTCTGACATTTAAGTTAAATTTCACACATTCCAAGAAAAAAAGCTTGATTATTCTCTGACTTTAAAGTGGTACATTTATGAGGAAAAACTTGAACTTGACCCTAGATAACAAACTGTCCTTCACTGCAAACATCGCTGCTACAACCCGCTGCTGCAGATACACTCTTTACAACATCAGGAGGATACGTCCCCTCCTGACCCAGAAAGCCACGCAGCTTCTGGTCCAGGCTCTCGTCATCTCACGCCTAGACTACTGCAGCTCCCTCCTGGCTGGTCTACCTGCATGTGCCATCAGTCCTCTGCAGCTCATCCAGAATGCAGCGGCTCGTCTGGTCTTCAACCTTCCTAAATGTTCCCACACCACGCCGCTCCTCCGCTCCCTTCACTGGCTTCCAGTAACTGCTAGAATCCACTTCAAGACACTGGTACTAGCGTACCATGCTGTGAATGGATCTGGCCCTTCCTACATCCAGGACATGGTGAAACCATACACCCCAGCACGTGCACTCCGCTCTGCATCAGCCAGACGGCTCGCTGCACCCGCACTGCGAGGGGGACCCAAGTTCCCATCAGCAGAAACACGTGAGTTTGCTATCCTGGCTCCAACATGGTGGAATGAGCTCCCCATTGACATCAGGACAGCAGAAAGCTTACACATCTTCCAGAGCAGACTGAAGACTCATCTCTTTCAACTCCGCTTTGAGCGATATAACTACTAACAAAGCACTTATATACTAACAAAGGACTGGCTTATCTAAAGCCAGTGGAGTAGCACTTGAAATGTGTTGGCTCTATGAAACCTGATGTACTTATATGTTTCTGTTTTCTTCAAGTTTGTATCTTCTTGGTCGAATGCACTTATTGTAAGTTGCTTTGGATAAAAGCATCAGCTAAATGTAATGTAATGTAATGTGATGCGATGCGATGTGATGTGATGTGATGCGATGCGATGTGATGTGATGCGATGCGATGCGATGTGATGTGATGTGATGAAATGTAATATAATGAAATGTAATGCAATGTAATGAATATGGTCTGAACGTTAAGACAGTCAAACTTGATTCTGTCAAATATAGCCACATATTTTGGAGACAGATTTTTGGAGATCTCTAAAATAAAAGTTGTAACTGTACGGGAAAAAAATAACTTTTTTTCATCAAACGTTTTGAAAGTTTCTAACAATGACGTACAGGAGGAGTTTTAAAATTGAAGTGCTTCCATAACAAAGAGAAAAACCCATTGGACTTTTGGCCTTAAACTAACCCCCTGTGGGGTGAAAACAAACCGAGGGAACTGAAACACTTCCTCTTTAAATATCCACGCTTCACACCTGAGCGAACAGGAATGTCAGAAACAACGAGTTCAGAAAATCACAGGGAAAAACTCCAGAAGCTGTTTTTTTTAGGTTTTACACACGTTGGTGTTCAGTTACAGCGTTAAGATTCAGAATAATGTATGCACTGCTATTTCCCCACATAAACATAACAGTCTGCAATGAAAAAGGGTGTCTCCTATGCGCTCCACTTCCTACTTGGCTATCCGGCAACTATCTCAAAGTATTTCGTGCGAACAAGATACTTTCTCTCTCTCTCTTGTTGTTGTATTAACCTTTAGGGGCTCCGTATGCACTTCTTATTCAAAGACACAACATATTTTTGAAGTATACACCCCCAAAACTAAACATGTGATATTAATTTAAAACAAGAATATATATTAAAAAACTCACCCAGCTGAATTCTTCTCAGTCCTTCATATTGTTCTTGTGATATACGCTAAGATGGCCTCATCAGATGATGATCCTCAGCTGATGAGGTGCTGGTTGTCTTGCCTTCATCTCTCTCCTCTCAACTTCTGGTTGAAGAACTCCTCCCCTCGTTATCTTTTCAAATGGCCGTCACAGTTTTAAACCAAACCCCGGAAGTAATCATAGCACATGGCAAAATAATACCAACATATCCACTTAACATAGGCATTGTGCAAGTGTGCAAACATTACCAATACCATCTCACTTCTTAGTTTCTATATTTAGATTATTCTGTTTTTTATTTGGACATTTATTATCCCTAGTACTCGTATTGTGCTCTCTGGGTTTGACTCAACAATTTCACTCCACATACTTTTATGTACATACAACAAACACAACTCTTTTGGAGCGTTTATTTGAGGCATAGCAGGTAAAGACAAATAAATAAAACACTTCTAATTTGTGTTCTTTTTTATGTTAAATACATTACTCTCAAGATACAATGTCCCTACTCTAGTTGCTATTCTTCGCTTAACATATAAAAATGAGGAAATTGTTTTGGAAACATTTTATTATTGTGAAAAAATGCAGAAGAGAAACGACATGACACATCATACTTGTAGTTTTTCCCATTTTTCACATCCCCTGCCCCCCCCCCCCCCCCCCCCCACACACACACACACACAGAGGCCTAAGATCTGTAAAACTATTGATAATGAAAACTGTAGGAGGACTTTGTTCAAATACGGCACCTGAAAAGTGCAAAAATTGCCAAAGGTTGCACATAGGGGGCGCTATAGAGCTTTTTGCAGAGAACTCAACCCTCAAAATATCACATTTTTCACCAGTCCTGACAAGTTTGCGAAAAAAAACACAACTTAAAGTGGACCTATCATGCTATATTTGAATAATATAGTGTAGGACCATACCTATATAAGGCATATTTATACTTTTTTTTTTTCAAAATACCAAACAGATCATGCATTTTAGCCATGCCTCATTTTGCTCAATTTGACAATTTCTAGCTCTGGGCAGATTCAGTGAGAACAGCACCACCTACTGGCCTGGCATATGTACTACAGCGTCTCCAGCGCTTTCGAACAGCAATGGCCGTGGCTGTCTCCTCCTGATTGGTGGAGTTGGCCCAATAGCCGTAGCGCCACCGTCCTGACGTCAGGACAGTGTTCAAATCTGGATCAGTTTTTAGCAGATCCATTGCAGCCCCTTTTTTAGAGATTTGGGTATGGAGGAAAATAGAGAGGGTTGTGTTTTCTGACACTTGGTGAGTTCCCTGGAACACCGGGGACACATATTCATGTATAAAAGACGTACAAAAGTGCATTTTGCATGATAGGTCCCCTTTAAGGTTAACGTTAAGGCCTTCAAAAAAGTGATTTATTGCGCCAATAATAACAATTTGAGGAATTACAAAGAGGAATGGTACTATCTGGTGTCATAACCTGGTACTCAAACCAAACCCAAATACATGTTCAGACTGCTTCAAAGCATATTCCTCATGTCCTACATTATATTATAATATCATTAAATTATTAACTTGTTTTAATGTTGAATAACAATTGTTGATTAACTTTAGTTTGTGATTCATCCTATGTTTCAGAATCATCTTCAAGCAGATTATTGCTCAAGTCTTATCACTGTAGTAGACATTTGAAATGGAGATGTAGGAATAAAACATGAATGTGTGTTGCTGTTATCATATTCCCAAACATGTCAAGATCTTACTCAAAGGTCTTTTCTGGCTGTACCTTTTTTTCAGACTAGATTCTTTTGGTCAGTAGACAGTAATTGATTTCATGTCCAGAAATACAGACGTCTGGACTTGTTTTACTTTTGTTTCCAGTCATTAAGGAAACTTGTTGGTAGTATAGCATTAACATTAGCCAAAGACAATACAATGTATTTCCATATTTCCATGTTTTATTGAACAGTATTCTTCAAATGCACATACCAACTTCTTCCTGGAGAATAAAGTTACAGCAAGCAAGACAACACACACATGCACCTCGATGTTATCAAAGAGGAGTGACACCATCTAGTGGCACATCCTGGTACTTAAACCAAACTGCAATATATGTTTTAAAACGATAAAAAAACGATGCTGCAGTTAATCCATAGGTTAATCCAATGTGTCTGTGTCCTCTTTGAAATGATTTCTGATAATCCATAAGCAATAAAACTGCTTTTTCGTTTCCAAATGTCAGAGCTAGAGATAGGTCCACTCTGATGGAAAATTACATGCGCGAAGCCCCCACCTCTTCTCTTCACAACGTGTGTGTGTGGGGGACTCCCCCTTCGATTCTATTGGCTCTAACGGTCAGAAAGAGGTGTCAACCATCAAAATCGAGCAAGGGGGGCCAGAGATATGGAAAAAAAAAACATTTTCACCCAAATCACCTCAGAGGTGGGGTGGTTTTGGCTAAACCTCTCTAAAAAGGTCAAATGTCACTTGTTTTGCATCAATCTTGATACAGGGTACTTATTATATGTTGTACTTTGGATTCCTAAAGCTTTTCGTCTACTAACCCATCATCCAAGGGTAGTTTTCACTATAAGTAAAAAAGAATTTTTGGACGGACACTATAATTTACAGTTTTTTACTATGTAAAATCTGAATTTTCTTTAAAATAAAAAACATCTATATTGATTCTGACACTTCTACATCCAACTCACAGATGTAACCTTGCTTTGATAAAAGAAATTATTCATATAACCCTTTTAGAAGTTAAGTTGTAGTCATTTGTTTTGGGCATGTCATTTTCGAGCCTGAAACATGAAAAACAGGCTTGGTGCTTAACAGGTTAAAGGTCACCTATTATGCAAAATCCCCTTCTTCATGTCTCTTCTACATCAACATGTGTCCCCTCTTCTTCATGTCTCTTCTACATCAACATGTGTCCCCTCTTCTTCATGTCTCTTCTACATCAACATGTGTCCCCTCTTCTTCACGTCTCTTCTACATCAACATGTGTCCCCTCTTCTTCACGTCTCTTCTACATCAACATGTGTCCCCTCTTCTTCATGTCTCTTCTACATCAACATGTGTCCCCTCTTCTTCATGTCTCTTCTACATCAACATGTGTCCCCTCTGTGTAAACAGACCATTTTGAAACGGCCCTCATCTAATTCTGAAAGTATAATGGAGTACGGCCCACACATGAAACGTGTGCTTGTCTTATATTGCACTTCTGTGATATATACAGTACACAGTATTCATGTGTTAATAAGCCCACTTCTCAGGTACATTCAGTACATTAAAGTTGAGAACTTGGTCTAACAAATCTTAAATGATAAACAAAAAACATATTTGCATAAATAGCCTGAAATACACCCTTCATATTCCCCCTTATTAGAAGCATTCTGAGGCCTCTGTTTTAAGGAAGGAGCTGAAAAATAAATAAATAAAAGTCTATGGAAAGCTATTTTTTTCTTCCTTAAAGCATATTCAAGTATAAAGAATACATTTGATTGATTTTACTAACTCATAACTTAAGAGGACATTTACCTCACCTTGACTGAGGGGCCCAGCCCTTCGTATGTTTTTCTGTATGTGGAAAAAGTTTGGACAGCCCTGCTTTAAAGCATCAAATCTAATCACTGTAATTGACAGGCGAGATTATTAGAGGTGCCGAGTTTTTACCATCGTAATGAAGACCGGGACTAAAGAAAGGGTAGAGTTCCTCAGTGAAGGCACAGTCAGTAAAGTTATGGATCACGTCTGCAGAATCTACGTCATAAAAGCAGACCGAACCCTTCTCATGATCAACGAATACGCCCACCCTCTCCGGCTGGCGTTTAACGGTGAGATTTACGGCAGAGGCTTTGTACTTATTTCCATCCCTTAAACATATTGTCCAGTAGCCATTTTGAGGTCTCACATCGATCTTCCCCTTCCTGGCGATCGACCCTTTGGCGACGCCTAACTCCCACGAAGACTTCCCTTTAACCAGAACCTCGTAGTAAAATCTTCCTGAAGAGAAACTCTGCTTTCCTAAAACGCTTATGGAAGGATTATATCTCTCTGGGTTGTCTGGAAGGCTTTGTTTTACATCACCACAGTAGACTCTTTTCATATCGTCAGACAGAACGAGGTAGGCATTCGCTGTTTCAGGATCTAGAGTCACATCCTTTTCAGACTCCTGGACCCTTTCCAGCTTGGCCTTCGCAAACAATTTCTCTTTCTCTTTCTTGAATATTTCCTCCAGCAGAGTGACAGCTCTCCCCACACTTCCTCCATATGTCGGTGGAGTGACACTGATCTCCATCCAGTTCGTGGTGAAGGGGATAGCGTGCAGTGATTGGATGCTTTGCAGGAAGTCCTCTGTGCGTGAGAGCTGCTCCACCTTAGCACTTCTTTTTGTCAGCTCAGAGATTTCTTTCTCAAGCTCTACGATGAATCCGTCGGCCTGTTTTCTTGACGTTTCCCGCTTTGTTTCAATTTCCTCGATGAGATTAGCGAGACTTCTCTCCACAGACTTCTGTAAAACCTCAAAGACCTGCCTACTGTCTGCGATATGTCTGTCAGCTGATTTACTGCTGATCTCCGCCGATCGACTGATTTCATCGATCCTCTTCTGTCTCTCCTGGATCATCTGTTTCATTTCAGCCTTTGTCTCCGCCAGCTTTTTCTTCTCATGGTTCTTGGGGTCTGAAACGAGACAGAACAGACACACATGTTGTCAGTCATGAGTATTGTTTACTGTGTCCATTGTTTACTTGATGTCCAAATCAAAACTTCTATATGCCAACACTCTCTCACGGTGAGATGAGGTTCATTTGAAGTTTAAAACCGTTATGCACCATTGCTCAATAAACCGTATTTAATTTTGTCTTAATGTACATTATTTAAATTAATATTCTGTTCTTGCACATATCATATTCTATTTACATGTATATAGACTTCTTGCACTATTTATTTATTTGTATTTTATTATATATGTTGCATTGTGGGAGGAGCTCAGGTCAGAAGAATTTCATTGCCATTTCTACACTGTAGCTTATATGACAATAAAACCTTTGAATTTGAATAAACCGTTAATTAGCACGCGCTGATTTAATCGATGTCCCCCACAGTTTGTCATTTTAACGGTGGATTAACAGTTATTGACTTTATGAACACTACTTTTATTTCTAATCTCCTTCTCATCGGCAGAGTTGATAAAACGTTGAAAGTTAATTGAAGAACGGATTTGATCTGAAACAATATATTAAAAGGTTCAGATGTTTAGGATTGCCTTAGGACATCTTTCATATAAATCTAATCTTAATACAACAATTAGATTAGATTAGATTCCTTTAATGTCACTACAGCGAAATTCCAAGCATTCCCGAAGGTGCAATCACACAACAGACAGTAGTAAGTATCATTTGGACAATACAAGCTAACACTTTTAATATATAATGTGACTATAAATTGGACCTATGATACATTGAACAGTACTCTTACAAAACAATACAACATTACCATGAAAATACAAGAACAATAAGTAAGTTATTGCACAGGTATTTATCAGTGCAGTTGATAAATTACAAAACTAGAAATAAATATGTGTTCTATAGAAACGGTATGAAGTGCAGTTGGCTGTAAACATGTACTGAGTTGAGCATAAGTTCAGTTCAGTTCCATTAGTAATAATACTTGATGCTGCATTTGAGACTTTTTCCAATATTTTTACTAAACGTACCTTTCCGAACCAAAACCAAAACCAGATCGTTTCGCCCGATCTTTTCTAAAATCTTCTTTGTTAACTCCCGAGCTCCATCACCCTGATAGTTCTGCACCATCAGATCCACCGTGTCTTTCCTGTCCGCCATTTCCAACCGAGAAACTGGGATCCCGGGAAAACCTTCCAGAGGATTCTCCTCCTCCAAGAACCACTTGAAATGCTTAAACTCTTCTTCTTTTAAATTCTGCAGAGTCCTCCAGAGCTCCTCTTTCAGTTTCACCATTATGGCTTCCTGATAACAAAAAGAGAAACTTTCAATTGGAGGGACAATCTTTTATTTATTTATATTATCTTATTCCACTTAACTTGAGTATTAACGCAAACATTTCGCAAATTGGGATCAAAGTACCTACCTACCTACCAGTGACGTGCGGTGAGGTTCATGGCTGGTGAGGCACTGACTCTTTCAGAGTCAGATTTACAAATATTATAGCCTATTTTGACCTTAATCGAAATATTCTGTTATTTTCAAAAGCTTTTTTAGTCTGATGCTATGATTAATTTTAAACAGACCGATCAACAAAAGGATACCCAAAATCTAAATATTGGATTGTTCTTTCTAAGATCCCATTTTCATTACAGTTGTGGTCTTACCTTGACTTGCATGCTATCCTTCTGGACAACAATCTCTATTACTGTTTTGTAAAAGTCCTCCTTATCTTCCTCTAGTTTCAAAAGTCTAGTTTCTTTGTTGTTTGCGGTAGAATAACAGTAGCAACAAGAACCTGTGGGCTCACGTGCGCCCCCTTCAGTGCGGCAGAGGTTATGGCTGCCTCCCCTGGTGATTTTTTCATTGCCGTTGTTCGAGAGACCAGCGAACCTAAATATCATATATACGTGAAATAAGTTATTTAGAGACTATGGATGGCGAGGATAAATGTAATAAAGGGATCTACAAACATTACATTGGTGACCTACAGTGAGATGGGAACAGGCATGCGCTTAGGGCCCGCTTTCCAGCCAGTTTCTGTGGGGTGACGCATTCTGAAGTGAGGCAGATCTCATCTGTGCCTCACCTGAGAATGCGTCACCCCACAGTAAATGGCTTGAGCGCGCTCACAAAATAAGTGGCCGCGCTAAATTAGTGCCCGCGCTCCAGCAAGTTACTGTGGGTTTACGTGAGGCAGTGCTCGTGCTTGCCTCACTTCTCATCGCTCCCGTAGCGGAGCTCGGCAAATTTGCTGATTTTGACTATAAAATGCGATTGGAATCATACAGAAATCACATTTACACAAGATCAGTGGAGACATTTTATTATTATTATTATTTAGTTTTTCTTTAATTGTTTTTCCGTTACATTGGAGTATGACAGGTGAGGCTCTGCCTCCCCTGCCTCCACTGACTGCACGTCGCTGCTACCTACCTACCTACAACATAATACACCCTCTGTTTTTTTTGTAGGTTGAGTCTGAAATATTTTCCCTTGTTCCTTCCACAAAAAAATGGGATTTTTCCATTGGATTTTTTCAGAAAATAATCTCTGTCAAACAAACGTTTGTGATATTTACACGTTTAGATCAGCAGGATAATCTCCTCATATTAACACCACTTTATGATTTCTGAAGTAAAATGCTAACGTTGGGCTATAAAGGAACTACAGCATGGTCACATGCAGGGGCGTCGCCTGGACCTGGAAACATTCGGGGCTGAGCCCACAGTGGCGGTGTAGGTACCAGAATCTGTTCGGGGTTCGTTACGCCGCTTACCAATGACGTCACGCATTGGCTGTACAGCAACCCAATAGGACATTTTACATGGCCAAATTCCGCAAAGAATATTACAAAATAACAATAAACAGTACTGTAAACATTATGTAAATAACCCAATTTGTGTTCTGTGAAACTGAAAAGGATATTACAGTGTTTTTTGTTACTTTTCGTTGGCTGTTGACAGGAAGTTGTTGTTGCTATGGAAACAACATGACGGAGAAAAAAGTAATATCTTCTCCATATAAAGACGTAGAAAGTAAAGAATAATGTGGTGGCCTACCAGATCTGTTACAATGAAGGCTCGATAATTAGCTCACGACATATAGGTGTGTCGTGTGTGTACAGAGTTATAAAGGTTGGTATAAAATCCTTGTTAAATCGGAGAATGAATTCGGGTTACGCCAGAGGTGGCGATATATGCTCCAAGTGGAAGCGATTCGCCATTAAATAAAAGAAGAAGAAGAAGAATTACGCCATCTGGTGTCACAAACAAACGTGTGCCTGCATTAGCTTTGTTACGGCAATGGATTGTGGGAGATTCTCATAACATGTGAGGATCTCTCGAGGGTAAGGTGCCTGTATTATTTTGGTGGACAAAATGTATGTTTTTATTTTATAAGGACTATAACGTTTTGTTGTGTTTGTTTAGTTTAATGTTAATCGTTTAATGCTCACACAGCAGCATGTTTTTTGTGTGTTTGGCTATTGGTTTTATATGATTTATCAACGTGATCATCAATAGCTAATCTGAGCTAATAAGCTAATGGGAGAGCTGCTCCACACGATGCCTCGACTACAAAGTCTTCCATGTTTCTACGCTTCTTCCTCTGTGTCACAGTTTCGGGAATATCAAGATCATTGCACAGGGCCTTGGTCTTGCTTTCTCGTCACTTCTGTAACTTTTCAGTGTGTTCTCAACTGCTGTTTTGTAATTTACTGCCTGCACCAAGTCAATTGTTTCTTTCTGCAGGTATTTGTGCAGGCCCTGAGTGGTTGAGAGCAGTGTCTGGAACAGGACAAGCATGTAGATGGTACTGCATTTGCAAAACTTGCTTTCCAGCCCCTTTGCCAGAGGGGCTGAAAGGCTCCCTAAAGTCTTGATCAAAGCAGGGAGGTTTTTGACATGCCCAGCGAACAAGTTATTTGTCCCCTACCTCTAGCTGTTTCTGAAATGTTTGCAATCTCTAATGGTGGAGAAGAAAGAGTAGAGACACTCCAGGAGATCAACGCAGGTATGTGAGTTTTGTACACCAGTTTTTTTAAGTTTAATGTTTCACATTGCTTATGAAAAATATACTACCACTATACGATCACTGATGTTTTGTTGTTGACTGGACACTTATTTTTTTAAAGAGATGGCATGTGAGGATCTCTTAAGCAATGAAGCTCACGTGTCCTTTTTATATGCTGTCCATTGAAATGCAGGAAAGTAATCACCAACTGTGAGTGATCTGTTGCCGAGGGGACACTACACCGGAGTTACATAAGCAGAGGTAAAGTACTATTTTTGGGGGGAACTCCCCCAGGAAGATTTTTTTTAAATATTGAAGTTAAAAGCATCAATCTGGTGCACTTTGAGAGCAACATTAAGAGATCTATACATCTCTCAACACCCATATGTCAAAAAAAATCAAAGAATCAGAATCAGAAACAGGTTTATTATTTAAAAACACTTGATTTTCCAATTAAATCATAAACTATGTCAAATTATTAGAAGTTGTTAGTAATTAGATTAAACTGAAAAAAGGGATGGAAGGAGGAAATAATAATCCCTCATCACTTGCTTCCTTCCTCACTTGCTGCTTCCTTCATCACATTACCTTTCATTTGTTTCTTTTTTTCTCCCCATCATCACTCGCTGTCTTCACACTCTTTATTGTTTTGTAGGTGGAAGTGTTAGGCTAAATCGCCTTGGTTTGACCTTCGCAAATCGGTCGACGACCTCCCCATGGAGGGTGACATGCCTGTATGCCAATTCATATTTTTTCCCCAACTCCAGAAAACCTGTTTTGAAGCTCCTCCAGCATTCTGTCGAGAACTGGAAAGAAGAGCCTTGTGTATGTTTGACTTTTCATGTTCTCGAAAATAATCCAATGCACGCTTCCAGTTTGTGTATCCTGAGGTGGTGAGGGTGTCCCTTTGATCGCTTTGGTTTGCCATATAGTCTACAACTAAAGCAGAATGCTGCATTGGCAGTGGTAGAATATTCAACCCATTTAAAAGTATCAAACCAACTTGGTTGAAATGATCTCTTTTGCTGGCCAAACATGCCGGATGGAAAACAGTGATGTCTCACTTGCCTTGGCCCTGTATCTGCAGTCCCTAAATCAGTTCCCCAGTTACCCATTGACTCTTGTCTGTTCTGATGTTCCTGTTCATTGTTGTTCTTATCTGTTGTATCTCCTTCTTGTGTGTCCCTTTCTCCTGTTCTCCTCTCTTCATCCTCTACTATTTTTGGCTCATCTGTGATGACTGTGTAGGTAAACACAAACAAGTATTTTAAATCAGTTTCCAGCTCTGTCAAATAAATGAATTTCAAGATACACAAATTTGTCTTCATTAAAATGAGTGTCACCACACTGTCACAAAATATAATACTAACCAATTGAAAATAGTTAAATTGACATTGGAAACCTCTTGTAGATATCACTGTTAGTAGTTATCTGCCAATAGGAGAGAATCATTCCTATACAAATGCAGTTTGAGTAATTCACTTAATATATTTACTTAACACTTAAATATAGTCATTTTCACGTAATACTCGAATAGTCATCTTTCTGCATTCAAAACTAAGGAAAGCTGTACAATTTCACATGATAATGAGGAAAAAAGGCCTCCGACAATGCAGATTTTTTGATCATATCAATTTTAAGATGGGGGTCGAGGCTTAATATTTGGGAGCATAGTGTCCCTTGTCCCCTTTCAGGAGCCCTACTGGATTAGCTTTGATCTGAAATCTTTGTATATAAAAAGCTTGTTAGCTGGCTGTCCATCTCATAATGTTCACATAGAAACTAGCTATCAATAGGAAATATCAATCAGAATTATAATTTCATGCAAAAATCTGTCACAAAAAGAGGTTGCACATTTAAATTCAGGTGTTATGGCAACGTCAGTGGCCAAACAGCCACATTTACTGCTGCAAATACGTTCAAACGTGCTGTCGACAGTAAAGCAGTGGCAACTAGGCCACCATTTAAACTGACTTTTCTCAGAAATACTGTCACATAACATCCATATATTTCAGTGCTAGTTTGATGCTTAGCTAAGCTAACTATGAAACACTTTAACTGACAGGACTCAGGATCAACTGTGTACTGTAAGGTAGCTTCTAGCTTCCTGTCGAACAGTAAGTCAACATTTCCCAGAGAGCTTTCTTTGAAATCACCAGGTAATGCTAAAAAACACAACATTTATATTGTATGACAAAGTGTTTATTTAATATATCTGGCTCGCTATAGCTACTTGCTAACGGTTTAGATTACCCGTGCGATTCAAAGTAACGTCAACGTAGCTGTAATTTATGCTTTGCTTACATGTTCGCATAACTTGTAAGTTTACTGACATGTACATATGTACATATGTTCACCTGGCTCAGGTGGTGGCTCTGGGGTTGTTGTGTGAGCCACCACTTGAGTATTGCCGTCTTTTTTATTGAAAAAATGTCTAATATCCATCTTCAGAATCTCCGCGTCCGGGGCTGACAGTTTAAAGTTTAAACATTGTCACAGAGGAGAGGTACGTACCTGTCAGCCAATAAAACACGTTTATTTCCATGCAACTCTCTGATTGGTCTGGTGGTGTCTTGGCTTGCCTATGTTGCATTCACTGAACACGGGAAATTACAAATCTACCGTCCTATAGGTAAAGAAGTACGGTTAATGTATTATATTGAGGGAGAATTTGTCCGGGGCTAAAGAAAAAACATCCGGGGCTAAAGCCCCGGATGCCTACCCCAGGCGACGCCACTGGTCACATGACTTCACGTCACCACCGTTAAGCTAAATGTGGCTAATGTTGGGCTGTAAAGGGACTACAGCACGGTCAAATGACTTCACGTCACCACCGCTAAGCTAAAGGTGGCTAATGTTGGGCTGTAAAGGGACTACAGCACGGTCAAATGACTTCACGTCACCACCGCTAAGCTAAAGGAGGCTAATGTTGGGCTGTAAAGGGACTACAGCACGGTCACATGACTTCAGGTCACCACCGCTAAGCTAAATGTGGCTAATGTTGGGCTGTAAAGGGACTACAGCACGGTCACATGACTTCACGTCACCACCGCTAAGCTAAAGGAGGCTAATGTTGGGCTGTAAAGGAACTAGAGCACGGTCACATGACTTCACGTCACCACCGCTAAGCTAAAAGAGGCTAATGTTGGGCTGTAAAGGAACTACAGCTCGGTCACATGACTTCAGGTCACCACCGCTAAGCTAAATGTGGCTAATGTTGGGCTGTAAAGGGACTACAGCATGGTCACATGACTTCACGTCACCACCGCTAAGCTAAAAGAGGCTAATGTTGGGCTGTAAAGGAACTACAGCTCGGTCACATGACTTCAGGTCACCACCGCTAAGCTAAATGTGGCTAATGTTGGGCTGTAAAGGGACTACAGCACGGTCAAATGACTTCACGTCACCACCGCTAAGCTAAAGGAGGCTAATGTTGGGCTGTAAAGGAACTACAGCACGGTCACATGACTTCACGTCACCACCGCTAAGCTAAAAGAGGCTAATGTTGGGCTGTAAAGGGACTACAGCACGGTCACATGACTTCATGTTACCACCGCTAAGCTAAGGCAGTGGCTCAGTCAGTAGGGGCTTGGACTGGGAGCTGTAGGGTCGCCGGTTCAAGTCCCCGACCAGACCTAAAATATGGAGTGTGGACTGCTACTTGGAGAGGTCCCAGTTCACCTCCTGCCCTGCCATGGTGCCCTTGAGCAAGGCACCGGACACCCCTTATCACTCCCATTGCTCCCCGGGCGCTGTACAATAGCTGCCCACTGCTCCTAGTACTAGACTCCTGGTACTAGGATGGGTTAAAAGCAGAGGCCAAATTTCACTGTGTGTGCTCTGCATGTGTGACCATTAAAGAGGGTTTCATCCCTCCCAATTCTATTCTAAAGGAGGCTAATGTTGGGCTATAAAAGGAACTACAGCACGGTCACATGACTTCACGTCACCACCGCTAAGCTAAAGGAGGCTAATGTTGGGCTATAAAGGAACTACAGCACGGTCACATGACTTCACGTCACCACCGCTAAGCTAAAGGAGGCTAATGTTGGGCTATAAAGGAACTACAGCACGGTCACATGACTTCACGTCACCACCGCTAAGCTAAAGGAGGCTAATGTTGGGCTATAAAGGAACTACAGCACGGTCACATGACTTCACGTCACCACCGCTAAGCTAAAGGTGGCTAATGTTGGGCTCTAAAGGAACTACAGCACGGTCACATGACTTCACGTCACCACCGCTAAGCTAAAGGTGGCTAATGTTGGGCTATAAAGAAACTACAGCACGGTCACATGACTTCACGTCACCACCGCTAAGCTAAAGGTGGCTAATGTTGGGCTATAAAGAAACTACAGCACGGTCACATGACTTCACGTCACCACCGCTAAGCTAAAGGAGGCTAATGTTGGGCTATAAAGGAACTAAAGCATGGCATTCTTTTAAATTCTGAAGAATATCCCAGAGCTCTTCTTTAAGTTTCACCATTATGGCTTCCTGCTAAAAAAAATAAAGAAAATAAGTTGCTATTGTTTCTACCTTGAAGAAGAAAGAATACTATTATAATAGGGAGGCGTGTGGCGCAGTGGATAGAGCGTTGGTGTTCGGATCAAGGGAGCACAGGTTCAAACCCCACTGCAGTCAGCATGTCGTTGTGTCCCTGAGACACTTCACCCCAAATTGCTCCTGTGGGGATTGTCCACGGTATTGAGTATGTAAGTCGCTTTGGATAAAAGCGACTAACAAGTGACATGTAATGTAATAAGTTTATAGACCAAATAGTAGTTTTATACAGTATGGTTCCTAGTTTAGTAAGGAAACATGAACATGGGCAAATTAGCGTTATTTCAACTGTTGGTTGTCAAGAAGACCTTCGGACCACAAAAGGAGACTAAAAAAACGTGAATACCTGCATCTAAAGTAGCATCAAACTGCTATTTAATGGTTATTCTTGCTTTTCTGAGGAATCATGTTGAGAAAAAGTAGAAAGATTGCCTTTTAATTGGCTTTTCTGTCTTGCTCGTTCTCCATTTATTCAGGTTTTTCCTAGAATCTGTTACCTGTATTCGTATCGGATTTATATCAACTTAAAAAAGGAACGTTTACATTTACTTCCCAAATCATTTGTTTATGTGTATCCTTACAAGACTGAACAGTACATTCAGGTCATTTTGAATTAGTCATTTAAAGGTGGGGTCGGTAATTTTGGAGAAACCAGTTTGAGTGCGCTAGAATTTGAAAATACACAGCCAGAAAAAATCTGCCACTTCCTTCCAGAGCCCCTCCTCCAACACACACGAACGCGCACATGACCAATGAGGGTACGAGATAAGTTTGTGCACAGATGGAAGGCTGACAGGCAGGTAGGCCATCCAGTTATTTTAGCTGGGCCGACTCAGATGATTGGTCGTGCTTTTTACAGTACTACAGCTTCCACAGATGACATTTTTTTATGGATTTTTTGTCAAAGCACTTCAGATATTCATTGCTATCGGGATGTTAAGAGCATTCCATGGAATATAACAAAAAGTGTATCTCGAGCCGATTTCTCAAACTTACCTACCCCACCTTTAAGTAGAACATGCTTTTAGTCGGTAAAAAATGATCACAAAACATTGATGTATGTGGGAAAAACGTGTCATTTCCAGCCGTGACATTTGTTCGACAAATAAAACCCAGCGACACCCATTAATATGTCAAAATGCACCATCTGATGTATAAAGCAATATATTCTCTTCACTGTAGTGTGAGACGAGTGCTGACATGCTCGAAAGTTCGTTCTTGATCCAAAAACGTTTAGGATTATTCCTGAACGGCACATAGCCTACTTGCTATTTTACTTGATAATCAAAATGTACATTAAAGTACGTTCAACAGTATAATGAATATAGACAGACCATAAGACATTGTTTAAACATGTTTCCTGAAAGCGATCCTACCTTTTAAAACTCGTCCAGATCACAGTTGCTGTCTTTCTTCTGATCTTCTGAGTCTGCAGACGCAAGTGTCCCAACCTGAAAAACCCACAGTGACGTAAAAGGTGTGCGACTGAAAGTACTAATAGAAAACCTGACATATTAACATACAGATACAGCATGTATGGAAGTATTGAGAGTGTATTTACCCCCTTTAACTCTTATCAAATTGCTTTTTTGGTGTCATTTCATTAGTTTGAACTCAGTATTATGATTATTTCCTCTTTGTTTGAATGAAACAAAGCCATGAAAGAGACTTCTGCACCAGGCATTAGATAGAATTAAGTTTTAAGATAAAAAAGGATAAGATATTCCTTTATATTTCGTACTACAATGTTGGAATTCTCAGTCATACAGCAGCAAATCAATCAGTTAACATAACTACATGTTCCTGGACCAACTTCAGACGAATAGGAAAGGAAGTCATGACGAAACCTCAAATACCTGCAGAGACAGCCAACAATATCCCACGTTGACGAAGTGAAAGTGAAAATCCAGCTATAGAAGCACAGAGGACTAAATTTAGGAAACTATTACAAAGTTATGGACTCAAATATCCTCGATAAATCCCAGAAGAAACGTTTCCAATTCAAAGAAAAGCCAGAAGAAAGCCGAACAAGAGACTGTGGAGCAACAACAGCTGTTCCCTCTTTACTGTACAAACACTCCAACCTCTACCTCTCTGCCACGTTCACACACACACACACACACACACACACACACACACACACACACACAACACACACACACACACACACACACACACACACACACACACACACACACACACACACACACACACCACACAACACACACACACACACACACACACACACACACACACACACACACACACACACACACACACACACACACACACACACACACACACACCCCTCTTTCCCTCTCTAGCTCTCTGGATGGAAGAGAACTCTCTGCTCCATAGCTTCTCTTGAAATAAAACCACGTTGTACATTTTACTCTATAATCTGTTCAATATTTATACTCCATATTCCATATATTTTGAATATATATATATAATATCTGCATGTATATTTTCTATTTCGACATGTATATTTTCTATTTCGACATGTATATTTTCTATTTCGACATGTATATTTTCTATTTTATTTTACTTTCTATTCTTGTATATTTTGTAGTTTTGTTTTATTGTAAAATGCCTTTTATGCTGCTGTAACAACAACAATTTCCCAATTTGGGATCAATAAAGTACCATCTATCCATCTATCTATCCATCTATCTATCTATCTATCTATCTATCTATCTATCTATCTATCTATCTATCCATTTCAATCCTGCATCAAATATTGCACAAACAAAACATCTTTACACATTATTAAACTCAATGTAATCCACTTAGGTCACATTGTTCCGTGAACTGCACTGAACTTTGTATTATTATTATTATTATTATTATTATTATTATTATTATTATTATTATTATTATTTTGTTGCAGTGTTTTGTGTTTTGTTGAAGTTCGATGTGTTTTCTGGCAGTTTTCTGTGTTTTCATTCAGTTGTATGTGTTTTGTTGCACTCTTCTGTGTGTTTTGACACAGTTTTATGCCCAATAAATCAAGCTATTTGCATTTAGATCCTCATATCTTCCCGTCCTATCGTGACTTTTAAATTGGCACTGAACTACTATGTTTATTTTTCTTTTGTAAAGCACACCTGCTGTTTTAAAACCTGGCAAAACTCAACAGGAGCAAAGACTGGAAGCACAGACTGGAAGCACAGCTGCCGCTCAGACCAGTTTAATAACTGAACAAACATCGAGTTCAATTAAGTTCACAGTTAAATATTAACCAGCTGCAGGGCTTTCTGTCTCACATGTAAAACCTTCCCCATGTTGCCCTGGGAACTATCAGGAACATTTGATAGTCAAATAAAAAACAGGCGGGGGTTTTCTGTGGTGTAGTTTCAAACAACTGCCACTAGATAGTAGGAGAGAGTCACTGATTTGACCTTTAATGCTCATTGGGTTGCACTTCATTCAAGTATTTATGTTACTACTTTTAAGTAACTCTACTTTAAAGAGTCCTCTCCTGCTGAGGTTCAGGTGTATATCAGTATGTAGTGTCTCTACTTTAAAGAGTCCTCTCCTGCTGAAGTTCAGGTGTATATCAGTATGTAGTGTCTCTACTTTAAAGAGTCCTCTCCTGCTGATGTTCAGGTGTATATCAGTATGTAGTGTCTCTACTTTAAAGAGTCCTCTCCTGCTGATGTTCAGGTGTATATCAGTATGTAGTGTCTCTACTTTAAAGAGTCCTCTCCTGCTGATGTTCAGGTGTATATCAGTATGTAGTGTCTCTACTTTAAAGAGTCCTTTCCTGCTGATGTTCAGGTGTATATCAGTATGTAGTGTCTCTACTTTAAAGAGTCCTCTCCTGCTGATGTTCAGGTGTCTATCAGTATTTAGTGTCTCTACTTTAAAGAGTTCTCTCCTGCTGATATTCAGGTGTATATCAGTATGTAGTGTCTCTACTTTAAAGAGTCCTCTCCTGCTGATGTTCAGGTGTCTATCAGTATGTAGTGTCTCTACTTTAAAGAGTCCTCTCCTGCTGATGTTCAGGTGTATATCAGTATGTAGTGTCTCTACTTTAAAGAGTCCTCTCCTGCTGATGTTCAGGTGTATATCAGTATGTAGTGTCTCTACTTTAAAGAGTCCTCTCTTGCTGATGTTCAGGTGTATATCAGTATGTAGTGTCTCTTCTTTAAAGAGTCTTCTCCTGCTGATTTTCAGGTGTATATCAGTATGTAGTGTCTCTACTTTAAAGAGTCCTCTCTTGCTGTACTTAAGTACATTTTTCTGGTATCAGTACTTTACTCCACTACTTATTTTTCGACTACTTTTTACTTTGACTTCTTACATTTTTAACACAAATACCTGTACTTTCTACTTCTTACATTTTGAACACAAATACCTGTACTTTCTACTTCTTACATTTTTAACACAAATACCTGTACTTTCTACTTCTTACATGTTGAACACAAATACCTGTACTTTCTACTTCTTTCATGTTGAACACAAATACCTGTACTTTCTACTTCTTACATGTTGAACTCAAATACCTGTACTTTCTACTTCTTACATGTTGAACACAAATACCTGTACTTTCTACTTCTTACATGTTGAACACAAATACCTGTACTTTCTACTTCTCACATTTCCCAAACAGGCTGGTTCCTTTAGTTTGAATGTGTGTTTGGTGGCGTGATCATTATTATTTAGAGTCATTGCGTGCCTATTGATTTGAACACGATCCGTGTATCCATCATTTCCTGGTCTTCTCTAAAGAAGAGGGACCAATGAAAACGTTGTCATGTTGCCGTTGTTCAGCATGGAAACATTCATTAGCTAACAATGACATTATTGTTCTATTAATATAAAGGGAGGTCAGGTACTCTTTAAAACAGCTGCTAGTTATGGGTACTTTTTACTTAAAGTGGACCTATCGTGCTATATTTGAATAATATAGTGTAGGACCATACCTATATAAGGCATATTTATACTTTTTTTTCCTTCAAAATACCAAACAGATTATGCATCAGTACTTCTACTTTTACCAGAGTATTTTTAAACACGAGTATCTGTACTTCTACTTGAGTAAAGCATGTGTGTACTTTTGCCATCTCTGCAGGTAGTGAAAGGAAAGGAAAGGAGGGTGTAGGAAAGGAAAGGAGGGTGTAGGGAAGGAAAGGAGGAGGCATCAAAAGGGAAACTCCCACAGAGGGAACAGGTGGATCCGGCTGCACCAGAGTCAGTGTGTGTTGCTCCGCAGAAAAGATTCCTGAAGCCACCGAGGAGGAAAAGGGAATACAGACAGATAGAAACCATGGCCGTGAATAAATGCATCAAATACCTGCTCTTCTTCTTCAACCTCCTCTTCTGGGTGAGTCCAAACATATAATTAGTTTAAAGAGTTTATTGCAAAGCACAGTGTGCGAAGAAGCACACGTCCGATCGTCCGGGACGTGTTATTTACAATATCGGACGAGTACATCTTTCCATTGACGTGTCTGACGGACAAGTGACTTTTTCCCCCATATTTATTCTCAAATTATTGATAAATTCAGTTTAAAAAAAGGCAGAACTCATTTGCAAATTGTCCATGTCCGCCATTGTTGTTTGCGACCGCTTTACGTTTCCTTCTTTGTCATGTGTGATTAGAGATGGGTACCGAGCCCAGGTATTAAACGGGCCCCGAGGTGGAATTATTAAAGACAGTGGTACCGTTAAGCTAAATATATGTCTTATGTTTTATTGCTACATAAACATTATATTGCAGTTTTAGTTTGGCCAACTCCGTTTCTAATATGCAAAAAGACAAACAAAATGCGTCTATGATGTATCAGGGAAAGGGTGTGCGAGGGGGCGGGGCAGGTTACACACACACACACACACACACACACACACACACACACACACACACACACACACACACACACACACACACACACACACACACACACACACACACACACACACACACACACACACACACACACACACACACACACACAGGGCCGCAGACTGCGTGGGGCCTCCCGTGTTTAAATCATTGTAATGTTCTCTCTATTAGGGATGCCAGAAACTGACCATGATCAAATTCGAAAATCGGACAGCCCTGGCGAATATTAATCGATTATTCGCATTACTTACTTGACATTAAATAGTGACTCGGCTCTGATGCATTTGTACAGCTTATGGGTGTGGCGGTTGCTTTTAATTGAATAAGGAATTCAACCCATCTTTTGCATTTTTTCAACTTGTTTTTCGGGTGTTTGTTCAAATGGAGCCAGTGTTAGATGTCTTGCCTTTTTAATATTTAAACATTTCTTCAATTTTTGTGACATCTTTCCATATCTATTCAAGGATCCAATGATAATTTCTTGTCATTGTGCATCTCTGTTGAAGGTGTACATGTGTTTGAACTCTTCTTTATCTCTTGTAACCAGTTCTGGATCCGTTCAAGAATTGAAGGATCATCTATCTATCGAGAGGTTTTGGGCTTTGAAACTTGATCTGTTCGAGAATTCAAGGGTCATTTGTTTACTGAACACAGCGTTTCCCTACGAAATGCAGTCGTAGTTCAGTCCATTATTAATCTATGATGAAGTTATACCTCAGAGAAAAACACCTATAGTTGTGCTTCTCTCAGACATTTCTTCCTTCTTCATTCTGTATGTTCCTCTTCTGTGACCTCCCTGTTCTCGCAGTATTGTTCCTCTGCTGTGACCTCCCTGTTCTCGCAGTATTGTTCCTCTGCTGTGACCTCCCTGTTCTCGCAGTATTTCAGAGTTGTTGAAGAACAGGTTTTATCTCCAGTTCTTCCGCCCTCCCAAACAAACATGAGCTCAGTTTCAGGGCGTGGCTCATCATCACTCCTGAAGCCTCGTATTACCCACAATGCCACGCTTCAGAGGTTATAATGACCCGTGAACATTGATTAACAATTCAGTTTCCCATTCAAACCCAAAAGCCCCGTATTCATACTCCGTATCGGCACTTGATTACGATCTGGCTCAACTCAGACCTGGCGATACTTGTTTTGGCGGGCTATAGAAGTGCAAACATGGTCTTTGTTATTATAAATAGTCAAGATAACCGTGGGGGAACAAGTCAGGGGGATTTTACTCCTCTGGTTTCACCATCTACATGTAGTTGAGTAAAAAGAACATTTTTGTTTTAATTACTGATTGATTTACACAATTTCGTCCAAATTTCAAATAAAAATGCTGTCATTTGGATCATTTGTTGGCAGAAAATGACAAAAAGATGCAATGAAATGAGATCTATTGGCTTTGATCACTGGAGGAAAACAGGAACTGAAACCCAAGTAATGCTTTCAGTTTGTCATTAAAACAAAAAGCCCCATTTGTTAATCTTTAGTTGGCTTCTTACTCTGGAGGAAGTGAGCCCTGGGGGGGGCACATTAAATCACTTACAACTGAAAATTGAGGTTTTACTACAAAAAAGTTATAGATTTACCTCTCGGTTTAAAATAAAGAGACCACTGTGAAGTCAGAGTTTTCTGTAAACGACTGACAGTATTTCCTCTAAATTCAGTCAAAAAAACATGTTCATTTATAGAATGTATCGGCAAAAAACGATGCAATAACAGAAGTGGTTTCAATAATGAGTTCAAGAACAAGTTCATAGCGTTATCAGCAGATTAAACGTGAACTAAAAACCACCTTACCTGACCACGATGCTGCTGCTTCCTCTATCCGCCTGTAACGTCGCCTCATGATGGCGTCACTCAAGCGACAAATCGAAAAGCATCTTAGGAAATGTAGAAACAGGACAAATATTGGTCAAAAAACTATAAAATAACTTCCTAAAGTGGAACATTTGTTCTGTACACATGGGTTGGATGGACAAGTTGTGCAGAATGAAATGCAAATTATACTTAACTGCAGTTTTAGATAAAAAAATGTAAGGCTGTTGAGAAATTAAAAACACACCAGAGACAAAAACAGACTTTTGGCGCAGTTCCACTACAGCGCGGAGCTCGCTTTAAGCGTGCCGTGCACGTTTTGCGCTTCCACTAGGCCTAGTTCCGGCCCGGCCCGGCCCGGCCCGGGGCCACTTTTTCACGTCTTTTCTGGCCCGAGAAAATTGTGGTTCTATCGAGGCCAACAAACAGGGCTGAGTCGGGCTGAGTATGCTAAACTAGAGAGAGGAGCGCTGGCAAGGGGGCTACAACTACAACAAGATGGACATATTTGACCGTGATTTAATTGTAATACACGTTTCAAAATGATGCCGAAGTAACAACATACTGATACCGGTTAGTAAAAACCATGAATTAATGCTTTGACAAGTCTGCAGACAGACGGCAGGCGAAACACCTTTTAAAATGCGTGTTTTCTGAATGGAGATTGGCTAAGCTAACGCAGTATATGCTCCGACCGTCCACACTCACAACAACGGCCTATACAGACATAAATAAAGCAGCGACTGTATTCTCCATGACACAGGCAGTCTGTGGTTTGTACTTGTTTAACTTTTGTCTAGTTTCTGAACAGATATGAGGAGCTGTGAGCTCTGAGTGCTAACAGCTAACGGCTGTGTTGTGTTTCTGGAGTTCTCATTGAAGATGACGTCACGGCTCCGCCTACACTGCGTTACTATAGTAACTACCCCAGTTCCTAAACTGTAATGGAAGCGCAACATGAAGTGAGTCGGCCCTGTTAAGGCCAAGCCGTACCGAGCCGTACCGAGCGTGGCCGAGGCCGACCGTGTAGTGGAAATGTGCCATAAATGTCCTTGGCGGAGATCATAAAATAGTGTCGGAAAAACGACAAGACAAAACCAGCCAAATGTAAGAAGCAGAAAATAAGTTAAACCAATTAAGATGAGTGGAGTCCAAGGGAAACAATATCCAAATTGTACAAATAAAGTAAAAACTAACAAAAATACTCAAACAGAAATGACCATGTTGTAATTTCAATGAAAATGGATATTATAAAGTATATTTTTGAAGTTATATTAGATATAAAGACAGAGCATGTTGATCAACAAACTTTATTGTGTTTCTGTCCTTGCTGCAGACAGTTGTACTCATTTTAAAAGCGTGTTTGTGTAAATAAAAAAAAGTAATTTTGTCTTCACTAATTGTCACCAAAATGCTCGCCTTGCACGTTGTAGTTCTTTTCAAGGACTCATTTTTATGTCATCATCATTTATGGACACCAAACTTGCATCATCTTAACTTAGAGGAATATTTAGAGAGCTTTTATTGATTCGATTGGTCTGATTTCATAGGTTGGTCAAAGACATCATATGTAGGATCAAGAAAGATATTGGGTGTTCCATAAAAAGTCAGAGATGTACAAAACAAGACTTAACGTACAAAGCCTCTTAAAGCCTTGTGTTGTTGAAGAAATAATGACAAATAGGATCATAATACCGGTCAGATCTAAAAAGTCAAAGTAATGAAAGGAATTATTATCAATGTCATTAAAAAATTATGAAAAATTTCAGATTTTTTTCAAATGCCAGAAAGTTACTTAAGAAATACTAGAAAGTTATGTTAAGAAACTGTCAGAAAATACTTTAAAAATACCAGAAAATTACATAAAAAATACCAGAAAATTACATAAAAAATACCAGAAAATTACTTTAAAAATACCAGAAAATTACATGAAAAATACCAAAGAATTACATAAAAAATACCAGAAAATTATGTTAAGAAAATGTCAGAAAATTACTTAAAAAAATACCAGAAAATTACTTTTAAAATACCAGAAAATTACTTTAAAAATACCAGAAAATGACATGAAAAATACCAAAGAATTACATAAAAAATACCAGAAAATTACTTTAAAAATACCAGAAAATTATGTTAAGAAAATGTCAGAAAATTACTTAAAAAAATACCTGGTGGGGGGGTTCCCATTTAAAGGGGAAACCCTGAGTGTGTTCAGTTTACCTTAAAGAGAGAAGACGTCCTAACTAGAGTGTTGAGAGGCTCGGTCTGAAGTTTAAAACGTATCTATATGTACATCAATATTAACCTTTGGCTGACACCAACATTTAGAGGAATAATGATTCTTTGGTTTATCTACCAGTAAACTCCAGTCATTCTCCAGACTGTTTACATTTATAACAGAAGTTATTTTATCTTGATTTACAGGAATATTTGGGTACATTTTCGCCCTGATTCTTCAGTTTCTCTACCAGAAATGGAAGGAAACTCCAAACTGTTTACATTTCTTCATCCCGTACCTTTCTGTGTATCTGTAAACAGTCCTCCTAAAAAGTAGTTATTGTCCTCCTCAATCGTCACGAAAACACTCTTCTTGCACATTGTATTGTTCTCAAGACATACTGAAGGTTAGTTTCCTGTCGTCACCATATCTGGACACTAAGGCAGACCTAAGATTA